TTTGGCAAGGACACAGATTAACTCCTTGCTACTGAAAACACTGCCTAAGGACTTGTGTACTGGTATCATTCAGGAAACAGAAATAAAGACTCATATGCTCTTTACACTTTGAGACGTATACTGTATCTCCCATTATTTAAATTGGCAGTGATTTAACCATCCTTAAGTTAACTGGAAAGGTAGGAAGCCTTTCCAGTTTAGGCTGATTCATTTTATTAAGGCATCCTTAAATTATGCCATTATCATTGAATTATGTTTTCTGTTTTAACAATCAGAAAACATTAAAATACGAAGGCATTTGCATGAACTTATACCTCCTTCTGTTGCATCTGGGTATGAATGGGAGCAGAAAGCAATGTGTTCATCCCTATTTAGAAAAAAGAAAAAACTGTAGTCAGAAAATATATTACTGAGCCTCATTTTACCTTTCTTAGGTTCTTCATCAGTTACAAGTATTTAAAAGAATTTACCAGTAACTAAGCCCTTAAGAATGTATTAATTTAATTTTTAAAAATTGATATATAATAGTTGTACATATTTTAGTGTTACATGTGATACTCTGATACCTGTATACAATGTGTAATGATCAAATCAGGGTAATTGGAATATTCACCACCCCAAACATTTATCTTTTGTGTTGGGAACATTTTAAATTTCATGACTTTTAATTATCCTATGTTAGTGACAGAGAGATCAGTAATTATTATATATCCTCTGTGTGGTTGAAATCTTTTTATGTGGCAGTGACTTTAAAGGTGGAAAGTTTGGACTACTACTTATTATTATTTTTTATTTCTCTATTTTTATTTCCTGGATAGTAGAAGTCCCATGGAGAAGAACACCAAGTGATGGGACTGAAAGGTTAGGGGAGGATTCTAAAGGGTCTTTTATTCTGTGTTAAGGAGTCTAGATGTTCCCATGATAAGACACATGCGCTTTACAAAATTAATCCCCTTATAAAATATAATGCATTTTAGAAAAATAGCAAAAAGTAATAAAGAGAAGAAAGTAGATTCAAGAGAAAATAAACCAATTGGAAAGTTACTATAATAGTTCAGATTAACAAATGAGTTCATGTTAGGGCAACAGAGAAATTAAAAAGGGAGTAAAGGATTAGACTCAAGATTTACTTTAGAACTACAAATTAGACTTTGTAAATAAAGAAGGGATTGAAAAGGATATATTAAAACAGGAAATACATTTTAAAATACTTAAGTTTAACGTTGAAAGGTAAATCTTTAGAACATATTCAAGAATTTATGGCAATCTTGAATACATATAATGAAATAATTATAAGCTTTTTTTTACTAAAAGCCTTTTTTAGGCCAGGCACAGCAACTCACACCTGTAATCCCAGCACTTTGGGGGCTGAGGCGGGCAGATCACGAGGTAAAGAGAGCAAGACCATCCTGGCCAACATGATAAATCCTCGTCTCTACTAAAAACAAAAAAATCAGCTGGGCGTGGTGGCAGCGCCTGCAGTCCCAGCTACTCAGGGAGGCTGAGGCAGGAGAAATGCTTGAACCTGGGAGTCCGAGGCTGCAGTGAGCCAAGATCGTGCCACTGTACTCCAGCCTGGCGACAGAGTGAGACTCCATCTCAAAAAAAA